GAAGATGGAAAAGCTCCATATCATCAGTGAAAACAAGGCCAGGGGCAGACTGTGGAACAGACCATCAATTACTGATATGCAAATTCAAACTGAAGCTGAAGAAAATGAAAATGAGAAAAAGAAAAAGTCCACGAGAGCCAAAATATGACCTTGAATTTCTCCAACTCATAGTGACCCTGTATATGGTTTCCGAGGAACAGCTTGCAATTAGCTGTTCAGTGCTCATTCAACAGCACCAAACCAGGACTCCTAATGTAGTATGGACACTATAAAAAGCTGCATTCTCCATATTCATTTGGCCACAGAATTTTTCTGACCTAACACTTATTAATGTCCAGGAAACTCCAGCCATATGATAGGATTGCAATGGCTAGCATCAGCCAAGCTGTTTCTAACCATAGTTAGATGTTCCTTCTGCCTGGCTCCTTTCTTTTCTAGTCTGCTTGATGAAAGAAAGTCTTCTTTCAAGCATCCAGATTAAAACCTCCTCTTGTAGTGTAGTGATTACAAATCCGGCTGCCAACCTCATGGTCTGCAGTTTGAAACTACCAGCCATTCCGCGGGAGAAAGATGAGGCTTTCTGCTCCCATAAAGATTCACAGCTTCGGAAAGCCAGCTCCACGGTACTTAACAACAACTGAAAGAATGCCACGTTTCCTCTCTGCCCCTCCATACTCCTGGGAAATACCCATCACTTCATCCTCCACACAACTGAAGCTCTGTTCAGTGCTAAGTCACCAGTCGCTCCTTGGAAACCCTATACAGAGTTGCTATGAGTCAGAACCGACTCAGTGGCACTTAACTACAACTTGATTTGTAGTTGTTAGTTGCCACTGACTTGATCTCAATGCACTAAATTTAGTATGTTGTGTTACAGTTACTTAAGGAGCTCTTATAGCATTGTGCTTATGAATCAGGCTGCTAATCTCAATGTCAGAACTTCAAAACTACCAGCTGCTCCGTGGGAGAAAGATGAGGCTTTCTGCTCCCGTCAAGATTTACAGCCTAGGAAACTATGCAGTGTCACGATGAGTAGGAGCCTAACCCTGGCACACCACCACCACCACAATTACAATTACTTGCCAAACAATCTGTCTCCCATGAGGGTAGAAATGTCTACCGAGAACTAGGTACTAACTGTTGTTAAGTGCCCTCTGAATAGTGATCCTGTATAGGGTTTCCAGACTGCAAAGTCATTTGAACTGCAAGCTCGGTGGCTCAAGTTCACCAGCTGCTCCTTGGAAACCCTATACTGGGTCACTATGGGTCAGAATTGACTTAACAACAACAACGTGGGGTTTCCAAGGAGTGGCAGGTGAGTTTGAACTGCTGACCTTGTGGTTCAAACCAATCTTGCAGTCCAGTACTTTATCCCACAGAGGCACACCACAGGCCTAAAAAAAATTATTCCCATTTATTATACTTTCCTTAGTATTTGCAATATTTCCTTTTCCCATTTCAGTCATATTTGTTATATGATTTAATCTTTTCAAAGACAACTTGAATTATGCATTAATCTGCTTGTCTCAGATGTTATGTGATAAGAGCTGCATAATCACACTGATGAACCCTCTAGCGAGTGGAAACATTTTCATTTCAGGAATGCAGAGCTTTCACAGAGAACGTTCCTCCTGGGATTTAGTATCCAGCACCTGTCTACAAAGTGGCAACCAAAAGCAAGCACCACACGTCTATTTTGAATTTCCCACGTCAGTGGAATTTCCAAATTCTAATGCTTAACAAAACCCCAGAATGACAAATATTTACTGGTCACTGGCTCTCCTGAGCTTCCATGCCACTTGTGTTGACTATTACAGCACTTTGCTAGACTGTTGCTTGTCTCTCTCTGACTAGACTGCACTAAGTCACTCTATGGAGATGAGCTCTGATAGCATAGTGGTCACGAATCGGGCTGCTAATCTCATGGTCAGCAGTTTGAAACTACCAGCCGTTCCGCGGGAGAAAGATGAGGCTTTCTGCTCCCATAAAGATTTGTTGTTGTTATGTGCTGTGGAGTCGGTTCTGACTCATAACGACCCTGTACAGGGTTTCCAAGGCTGTAAATCTTTACGGGAGCAGAAAGCCTCATCTTTCTCCCGTGGAACAGCTGGTAGTTTCAAACTGCTGACCTTGCGGTTCGCAGCCCGATTCGTAACCACTATGCTACCAGAGCTCCTTATAGCCTCGGAAACCCTGTACAGGGTCACTATGAGTTGGAACCAATTCCACAGCACTTAACAACAACATGGAGATGAAGCATGAGTTAGATGACTAACTCACAAGTTGCTGAATAAAAATCACTCTTTCTGATCCAATCAATGAAAAGTTCCAAAAGAACTGTACTTAGTTGTTGTGGTGAGGTGCCCATGGAGTCAGCTTCAACTCATTGTAGCCCTATACAGGGTTTACTTGAGTCCTGATGTAGTGCTGGACTGCAAGGTGGGTTTGGACTGTAATGTCAGCTGTTCAAGCTCACCATCCGCTCCTGGAAACAGGGTTACTGTGAGTCAGAATCAGCTCAATGGCATTTAATAACAACATAAGAGTTTCCCAGGCGCAAAACACGTCTAGTGGGCTCAAACCACCGACCTTGTGGTTAGCTGTACAGGTACAACCTTAGGACTCCTGTTAACTGCCGTCATGTCAGTTCCAATCCACAGGGTTTCAGGGGCAGCTGATGAGCTTGAACCACCGACCCTGCAGTTCAAATGACTGCAGTCTGAAGCATTAACCCACAGCGCCCCACCAGAACTCCAAGGATTCTAACTTGGCAAACATAAAACTTAGTGATGTTATTGATAAACAGCTTTATGCTTTATTACTAGAAGTGAAGAACAAGTTCTGAACATTAGATAATTTTAAAACTTTTAGTAGAAGCATAAGTCCTGACAAAATCAACATCTCATTCTCAATGAATTCAACATAAGCACAAGCCTAAATACTAGATTTGATGTCAAATACAACATGTCTTGGTTCACACGCTCTTCACAAACCCATTCCCCAAAACTGAAATCTGATGAAAACTGCTGATTGTCCTGCAAGACTGATTATTCCATTTTCATCAGTTTAAATGCTTAAAAAAAAGTAGGGGGAAAAAAAAAAAAAAAGCCTCCCTTTCCTTTAGAAACCAAGCTTTCAGAACCAAAAAGTCCGCGAGTACTATTCAAACAGGGACTGTCCAAAGGACGTGGGTCATTAACCATGCTTCTTGCAGATTCTGAAGCCAGCTCGCAATTCAACTCTTTGGAAACATGACAATAGCATTTTAGATAGACCTAACAGAAACAAGAGCGACTTGAGACGAGACACTTAATCACTTAAAGAGACACAGTGTTAACTGACAGAACTTTTCAAGTGCGAGCAACTCCTTCATAGGCATGGCACACACTTTTCTTGCAGCAATTATTTCAGCTTCCCAGAATACCTCACTGGTGTAAGGAACACAGAGTCCACCCTACTCCAGGAGGAGCAGGAAAAGAAATCGGCGTAGTGTACAGAGGGTTTTGGAGCGGGCGCCCCAGCCTAAGGGTCTACCTAAGACTAAACTTGTATCCCTCCGGGCCTCCTCAGGCTTCTCAGAGAGCAAGTCTCCGAGGTGACCCCGTGGAAAGAGTGTCTAACCTGAGAGGCCGCGGGCACTTGTTACGGCGGGTACCAGCTTAGGGGTCGAAAGCAACCAAGGCATGATGGCCACGCTCACGCGTCAGGAAAGGAAAAAGGAAAACGGGTGGGTATGCTGCCGCCTACAGGGCCGCGTCGCCAGGAAACCGGGCAACAGCCCCTCCCCTTCCGCACGGCGCCCTTCACCAGGCTTTCCTCGCGTGCCGACGCACCTTGTTGACGTCACACCCAGCTCTGTGGCCGCCGCTTTGGCCGGACGGCCCTGATTGCGTCATGACGTCATGCTTAACTTGATGCGCTTACTCCTAGAGTATTCGATTCTAAATGATTCCTTGGAGAGGCTGCTATCTCCCGCCACCTTGAAAGTGCTATCACTTAACCAATGAACTGGCACGTGAGTAGAGAAGCAGGCAACAGCACGGACAGCCACTCTTCTAGAAGGTTCTAGGCAATGCGCAGGAGCACAGGTGGCGGGGGTAGGAATGAGCGAGCGAAGGACCCAGGGTCACGAGACCGTTGGATGGGCGGAGCCAGCGGGCTGGGAGGTTCTGGTCTGTTCTGCCTCGCGGCTGCCGCCCCCTTACACACGGTCACGCTGAGCTAGCGCCCGGGCCTGGAATCGGGCTTCAGTCTTCTCAGCCGCGCCCTCCTTCTCCCGCCTCCTGCGGACCATGGACCCCCGCAAAGTGAGCGAGCTGCGGGCCTTCGTGAAACTGTGTAAGCAGGACCCGAGTGTCCTGCACGCTGAGGAAATGCGCTTTCTGAGGGAGTGGGTGGAGAGGTGAGACCCGAGCCCGAGGACCGTTGGGGGAGGAAGAGGGAGGGCGGCCGGAGGTCGAGGATCTGGGCCGCAGCTGGCGTGGAGCTTGGGTGAGGAGGGTCGCGGCCGCAAAGCGGACAGCCAAGATCGTATCTCTTTGTGGTCCGCTCTCTGGCCAGGAAAGGGAGGAGACTTCGAGGGGCTGCTTGAGGAACGCGAGCCTTGACCCGCACCGGGGTTGGGAAGGAGGGTACAGAACAGGGTTCCCGCACCTTCTGTCGCCAGGAGTAGAGGTGGGGCGTTAGGGCCTTGGGCGTGAAGTTGTTGTGCTTTAAATCTGTGGTGTCCACCCGAGGTCGCGTTGACGCACAGCACACCCTCTATGGACCCGAACTTGAAACGGTGTAATTACAACCACTTAGCATTTAATAAGTTTATTAGTGATCGTGATAAAGGCCACTCTGTTTAATTACCCTTAAATTCACAGCGATCCCACCTGCGTAGGATTGACTGGGCACTCACTTACTCCACCGCCGTTGGTGGCAATGCGGTTGCTTCACAAGTCCTGCAAGATTTAAAAGAAATGACATTTCAAGGGCCGGAATGCCTCTGGGATCTATTTGTGATCTTTTAACTCTTTAAGTAGCTCACTACGTGCCCAGAATTAATTGAACAGGCACCGTGCCAGGTGCTGGGAACAGTGTAAGTAGTCCATTTGGAGATAGAGAAGGAATACAGACAGATTGTTGTTTTGATCTTTACTGTGTAATCAAAACTGGCACTGGGCATACAGGAGGGTGCAGCTAAGGGAGGAAGAGTGAAAACCATCCACTGAGGAAACCACTTTTTAAATCTCTGCCACTGGTGGGAAACTTAGAAGAGATAGCTTACTAATTGGGTGATAAATAACAGCAAAACATTGTGATTCTTAAGTACCAACCAAGCATTGGTATGGTTATTTTAGTAGGGTTTTTTTAATAGCAGAATATGAAAACTGTGAATACCCAACTATTTGAAAGAATTGCTCTTCCAGTCAGCTTGTCCTGAGGAAGAGATGCAAGTTAAAATCTATCAACATTGTACACACATTGGTGATATGATTATTTTATTCTTACTCTCTAGTTTCTCTGTTCTTTTCTTAGCCAACAATTTCCAGGGACTACAAGATGTTTAAGGAGCTCTGGTAGTGTTGTGGTTATGAATCGGGCTGCTAATCTCAGGTCAGCAGTTTGAAACTACCAGCTGTTCCGCAGGTGAAAGATGAGGCTTTCTGCTCCCGTAAAGATTTACAGCCACGGAAACCCTGGACAGGGTTGCTATGAATCGAAACCAACTCCACGGCACAACCACCACCACAAGATGTTTGCTCACATTGGATAGGGAAAATTGTCAAATGCTGTGGAGTCCTTTCTGACTCGCAGGAACCTTGTATAGGGTTTCCAAGGAGTAGCTGGTGAGTTTGAACTGCTGACTTTGCAGTTCAAACCTACCTTGTGATCCAGTGCATTATCCCACAGCACCCCACCAGGACTCCAGGGGAAACTGAGGATGGTTTTACAGTTAACTAGTATTGTGAGTTCTGGTGTTGTAGGAGAATGTTGACCGTGCCATGGGCTGCCAAAAGAACCAGTAGATCCGTTTTGGAAGGAGTGCAGCCAGAGTGCTCCTTGGAGGCCAAGATGGCCAAACTTCGTCTCTTCATACTTCAGACATATTGTCTGGAGGGACCAGTCACTGGAGAAGGATATCATGTTTGGTAAGGTGGAGGGTCAGAGAAAAAGAGGAAGACCCCCCCCCAACGAGATGGATTGGCCAAGTGCAGCATTGATGGACTCAAGCGTGACAACAGTAGTGAGGTTGGCCCAGGATCAGACAGTGTTTCATTCTGCTGTGCATAAGGTCTCTATGAGTCGGTGCGGACTTGATGGCACCTAACAGCAACAACAGTATTATAGCATGGTGAGAGTTCTGGTGTTGTACCATAGGATAAGCACTGGAGTGCTAAGCACAAGGTCAGTAGTTCAAACCCACCAGTCATTCCTTGGATTACCCTATGGTGGTAGTGGATATGTACTGTGGAGTCATAGAAACCATGTACAGATTCACTGTGAGTTGGAACCAACTCGGTGACATTTAACAACAACATAGTGCAGTGTGACCCTGTGAATTAACTTGCTAGACTACAAAGTTGGTTTGAACCTCAAGGTTGGCGGTTCAAGCTTACCAGCTGCTTCTTGAAAACTATATACAGTATCGCTATGTGTCGGAACCAACTCAGTGGCACTTAACAACAACAATGAGAACCAGAACTCACCTACCTTACTTATTTTTTTCCTTCAGGATCTTGCAAGTTTTTCTACCTTTTTAATTAATTAATTTATTTTTATCTGCTATTCAGTGGGAAATATTTGCATCTTTTTCATCTCTTGCAGGTTACAGTTTTCACAGGTTTTATTGTTAGCTATTTATGAAAAACATCACTGCCATCTAGTTGATTTCAAACTCATAGTGACCCTAATTATTGTTGTTAAGTGCCATCAAGTTAGTTCCTACTCTTACAGGCTTTCTGAAGAGCGACTGGTGAGTTTGAACTGCTGACTTAGCTGTGTAACCGGCCTTTCAGTCCAGTACTTATCCTACAGTGCTACCCACACCAGGACTTCGGGACACAGTAGGGTTTCTGAGACTGAATCTTTACAGCAGCAGAAAAGCTCAGCATTTTCCCCAAGCAGCTGATAAGTTTGAACCGTCAGTCTGGTGGGTTTGTAATCCAATGCTTACCCCAGAACCCTGGGAGAACTCGTAATGATAACAGTAGTTCGTTCTGTTTTGCACATTGTTTCTCAAGGAAAAAATCTATAGGTTGCTCTGTCAGGGAAACGAAATTTCACCAGATACAGGTTTTTGTTTTTTGTTTTTTTTTTTCAAGAATTTCGTGACCAGCTCTTGCTAATGCAAAAACTGATCTCCTTTTCTTTTGTTGCTTTGGGACATAAATTACAAGACTAGTATTTGAGGCCTGGGTTTTCATCATGTTATGTACTGAATAACTTGACCATCCAAAGAGGTTACATAGGTCTTTGCATGCTTTTATTCTTTTCTATCTACCACCTTCTGTACAGGAATGCTCTGAGTCGGAACCAACTTGATGGCACTTAACAGCAGTCAGTTTACCCATGAGAGGAAAAGTCTTTCCATTCATAAACTGTTCCCAAGATTCCTGATAAAGCAGACTTCTCTCACAGGGAGAAATAGCTGTCTCTAAAGGTGAAGGACCTCCGGCAGCGTAGTGGTTACGAACCGGGCTGCTAATCTCACGGTCAGCAATTCGACACTATCATCTGTTCTGCGGGAGAACGATGAGGCTTTCTGCTCCCATAAAGATTTACAGCCTTGGAAACCCTGTACAGGTTCACTATGAGTCGGAACCAACTCCATGGCACATAACAACAAAGGTGAACATGACAATGAGTGGATACAGTATTTTGTTCCCCTTCTACTAGAGAGGAAGAGAGCGAGCTGAAGAAAATTTTAAAATGTGTCCAAGAACAGTGTCTTAAGCTGAAATGATTATGGCTCTGTGAGAATTCTGGAATGAGCGCTGGAAAACGTGTCAGGCACTGCTTATGACTATATGTCCTATTTTAATGTTTCCCGTAGGTGATTCTAGTTTTTCGTTCTGGCTTATTTATCTCATAACATAAGTAACTATAGCACAAAGCAGATTGCTATGTTAAAAGCCGTCAAGTCGGTTCCAATCCATAGCGACCCTGTATAGGGTTTCCAAGGAGTGGCTGGTGAGTTTGAAGCGCCAACCTTGCGGTTCAAACTGACCTTGTGGTTGAGTGCTTTTCCTACAGCGCCACACCAGGACTGCTCCACAAAGCTGATTGCTATTAAATTGAGAAAGTTCTGAATGAAATCCTATGAGATCTTGTAAGAAGGATTGCATCACCTAACTCAAAATGTTTTTGGAAAAATTCAATCAAAAGATACCGAAATTTTTCCACGAACTTTTTGAAACTTCAGGGTTGACAGGAATATCACTTTACAATGTTTGAACCTTAGACTGTTGTGGTTATCACCTTAAATCCATTCTTGGAACTATTAATAATTTGAGGCTTAGGGAAATAGCTTAAAACATCCTATGTGTTAATTAAAATTTAACTGCATATTTGCTGTGTCTCTTTTGAGGATAGCTTTTCTTAGGAAAGAATTTTGTGGTAATATTGAACTCCTTGTGTGATGCTGTAGGATAGACTGAATCACAAGGATGGCAATTCAAACCCACCAGCTGCTCCTCAGGTACCCTAAACAGGGTTGCTATGAGTTGGAATCTACTCAGTGGTTGTTGTTGTTAAGTGCTGTTGAGTCAATTCTGACCCATAGCAAGCCTGTACAGGGTTTCCAAGGAACAGCTGGTGAGCTTGAACCAACAACTTTGCAGTTCAAACGACTTTGCCGTCTGATTCGTTAACCCACAGTGCCACACCAGGACTCCTACTCAATGGTACTTAATAACAGTACAACAATATACTTATTTTTTGTACTGAATTTAAATTGTAGATGTTAGATCATTTAATAATGGTCACATTAAACAACTGAAAAAAAGTACACATTTTTGTTTTTACTCTAAATTTTACTTATTTTGTTATTGAGAATAATGCACAACAAAACACCAATTCAGCAGTTTCTACTTGGAGAAGTTATGGTGACACAGATTCCTTTTTCTGAGTTGTTCTGTCTCTAACTCACTGCCCCTAAGTTTTCTATACATAAGGTCTTTCAAGTTGCTCTTGTCAGTTTGATCCCATCTGTTGTTCTAACCATAGTGACCCTAGTTACAACAGAATAAAACACCACTTGGTCCTCCACCACCTTCACAATTGTTGTGCCCATTGTTGCAGCCACTATGGCAGTCTGTCTGATTTTGAGGACCTTCCTATTTTCTACTGACTCTACTTCAACACGCATGTGCCCTTCTCCAGGGACTGGTCCTGTTTAATAACATGTTCAAAATA